CACACACACACACACACACACACACACACACACACACACACACACACACACACACACACACACACACACACACACACACACACACACGCATACAAACACACGTACACATATAATGCGCGCACGCACACTGAAGATCACATGTATATGCACGCGCGCATACGAACGTGCATGTACTGCACTAACACATATACACACACTCGCCCACACGATGCACGCACGCACACGCACTCAAAAGCACACGCGCACGCACTTACGCACACATGAGCGTATAAGCACCCACCACGCACCAGTGCACTTCAGGTGCGCACACAGTAGACGCTATAACAAACCCTCTTATTCGCGTAAACCGTGGATGTACGGAAACGCGATATCGTTGAGGCGGTGGTATAACAACTACCGCGTACGCTCTCACAACAATTCGGGCGTCAACAGTCAATGCCATCAGTCTGTCGAACTAGACAGCGTGGCAGTGAATTACACCTATCAGGGAGCTCAGGCGGTACTCGCCACACCTCGGTCTTTTCCGTCTCCACCCACGCTTCCGTAAAAGGGGCGTTGATGTCCGATGATAGTGTCTGTCGCGATGTTCATGCCTTGTCGATGCCAATAGCGAATTTAAATGCATGGTGACGTTGTTGTATGTACATGTATATAGCAACCAAGGAAGTCAGTACCTATCGGCTTGAATATTCGCGATATATGTGACAAATAATGGCACAAGTTTAAAAAAACTACAATTTTATTATAAAGTTTTCTATATAAAGTTAGTGGGTTTTCGTCCACGAACCCATTTATGTGTATTTTCCCGAAAAATCCAAACAATAGTATTTTACTACATCTTATCATTTGCTGGAGGAAAATATATATCGTTGGAGTACGCGAAAATAAACGGGTAGCTAGGGTTGTGCCCAATGTAAATACCAAAAACGCAAGGTAATGTAAATACATTCTGATTTGCATTCAATAACGTGGCGCACCACTCGTGTGTATATTATGTACCTACATGTAGGTCAACGAGTCTCGCCTATTGGCGTTCATAATGGGCATCGTAGTGTGTGTCGCATTGTGCAATGCTGCGTCATCTATAGTTGCACGTATATTTACCTGGTATTATTACAGCCGGTTGACGGTATCGGAATGTACCAGCTGTATACCTTGCTTTCATTTAGATACCTATATGTCTCATTATATATATATATATATAT